CCAGCCCCCACCGTGTGCCCCACCCCCACCACGTGCCTCCCACCAACGCCACACCCCCAACACGTGCCTCCCACCCCACGTGCACCCGCCCCGTGCCCTGCGTGGTCCACGTGCGGCAAGGCTCCTCCCACAGAGAAGTTGCCGGAAAGTGCCAGTGGGATGGGGTGGGGGTGGGGGGACTCAGCGTCGGGACCCCACCCGTGCCCTTGCCCTTCCTGGCGTCTGCTCATTTCCCACTCAGGCGTGATCTCTGTCCTCCTGCCCACCCTTGGGTGCCCCTTGAGCGATGTGGAGACCGGCCCTGTCCTCAAAGAGCTCACAGCTGACTTGGGAGTCGGGAGGCTGGTCCGAGCATTGTTTAGCCAAGGTCGTGGGCCTCGGGTGAGTTAGGGGAGGGGTGGAGGGTGGCCACCTGATCCAGCATCCTCCAGGCGTGCCCTTCCCCCTTCCGGCGTGAGTGCAGTGCCGCCACCCACCCTGCTGGGTCACCCGGAGACAGGAGGCGCCCTGCCCTCCCAGCGCACCCGCACAACCCGGCCCTGCCCAGGCCTTCCGCATACCCCGGGCCTGGCCCTCACTCGCTGGGTTCAGCCCCAGCTCCACATCCTCAGACCCCCGGACTCCAACAGCTTTGGGGAGAAGCTCCCGTAGATCCACACTCGGAATGCTCCCTGCGAGTGGCCCCTGGTCTCTGCTCATCTCCTCCCTGAATCTCATAGCGCCGCTTTGGTGCTGGGTTTGCAAATGTCCTTCAGTAAATGTGTTGGGTGAATGACAGACAGGACGAGTCGAAGAAAGAATGGGAGAGCGGGGACGTCCTCTTTCACGGAGGTGGGCGGCTAGGGGAGAGCAGCGCGTGGAGAAGGGTGGGTGCTGAGACTGTATTTCAGGTGGGAGGACGTCCCTGGGCTCATGTGGGGGACAGTGGCTGGGGAAGGCCGCACACAGCTCAGCCTTGTGTTGCCGAGCGGGGCACAGATCCTTCCCTTGGAAGGGCGCAAGAGGGATCTGTGGCTGGTGCTACCGCAGTAGGGGGCATCTGCCCAGAGTGCAGGATGTGGGACGGGGCTAGAGGACGAGAAGGTGGGACTCTGGGCTGGTGCTCTGTGTGGGACTTTGGGTGATGGGACTGTTATCAGCCAGAAGTGAGTAGAAGGTGGCAGGAGCGGCACCTAGGCCTGCTGCAGATGGATGTCATGTGACGTGAAGGTGCCGCTTGTGGCCCAGGCAGCCTGAGGAGGCAGCGGGTTGGCCAGGGCTGCAGGTCAGATGTCGAGGAGGACCAGCAGGCGTGGTGATGTGGGTACATGGCATCAGGCCACGTAGGAGAAGAGACAAAGTCTTGACGGGGTTGTGGCCTGGAATTGAGGGAGGGGGTCAGGCAGGGGGTCAGGGAGAAGGATGGGGAGGGGGCCTGAGGCTGGGTCAAGGAGCAAGGGGGCCAGTTTCCACTAGGCTCAGGGCCAGGCCAGCCTGCCAGACGGAAGTGGCAGCTCCAGCGCCCATGTGGCCGTGTCACTCTGCCTGGGGCTGGTTTCTGTTTTCTGCGGGGGTTGTGCAATGGAGCCAAGAAAGGCTTGGGGACATTAAGTTGTGCCAGCAAGTGTGAGGCCCTTGCATTTGTGGGGATGTGAGGGGAGGGCATCTCCCTGACATTGGAAAGGCAGTACCACGGACAGACCCAGCAGAGCAGACTGGACGGGGTGCCTGTAGGGGCGCAGGAGGAGGGGACTGCAGCAGAGACCCCACTCAGCCCGGCTGGAGGTCAGGGCCGTAGGCCCTATCTCCTCCCTGCGCCTGGCTGGGGAGGGATGGACAGGCTGGCGTTCTGGGGCTTGGTTCTACCATGGCAGAATGGAGCCAACTTTGGGTTTCCGTAAAGCCCTCAGAAATGACGCCAAGCTTGTCAGACCCTCCTACTGCTGACAACGCATATAATTATCTGTAATCGATCGGCTTGCGGGGCTCCTGTTGAATGGCTGGCAACACACGCAGGCAATGTGCCCTCTAAGTGGTGATGTGAGTTCCGGAGGCGGGACCGGCCTGCAGAGTGGCACACACAGCTGCTAATCAGGTGAGAGTTCTGGCAGAAAGGCCACCATCCTGCTGAGGGTGGCACCCAGCCAAGGGTGGTGGGATCCCAGCTTCAGCATCTCTCTCTCTTGGGACCCAGGGGAAAAAAGCCCCCAAGATGCGCCACTGTCCGTGAGCTGGGTGGGGGACACAGGCTACACCCCTTATGGGGACTTCAGAGCAGCCTAGATCTCGTCCAAGTTCCCCCGACCCCAGCCCCCAAAGCATCTGTGTTCAGCCTGCTGTCTCCTGGAGGCAAACATGGAGGGGCCTCAGGAGAGACCCTGGGGGTGTGAGGACCATGAAGTACACACCATGCGCCCTCAGATCGGCCCTGGTCCAGCTCTGCCTAGGGGAGCCCCGCATACTGACCATGCCCTCCCCTCCATGCAGCAGGCTGGGTTGGCACCCAAGGCTTTGAGAAAAAATGCATGGGTTGATGTCTCAGCTACCTCCACCCCTGTCTGAGTCCCCAGTCCCTCTCTGCTTCCTCTCTCTGTCTCTGTCTGTCACTCTGTGTGTTCTGTCTCTGCCTGTCTCTCTGTCTCTGTGTCTGTGTCTCTGCCTCTCTCTGTCTTCTCTCCTATCCCTATTGCCACCGTCCTGGTCCAGTGAGGGGTCTGGGCGGCACTGCAGACCAACAAAGGCTCCTGAGCGCCGGGGATAGAACTCGAGGCCCCCCAGAGGCTCTCCCTGCAGCCCCCTGGGCCAGGGCACCTCATGCATGGCGAGTATGCGTGGGGGAGGGGGTGTGCAGCGAGACCCTCTGCTCACCGGACTTAACCTTGAGTCATTGGGCTGCAGCACCTGAGGGTGGGGCCCCTCCTCACTAGCTGTTTGAAAGGTGCTGTGAGCATGCGGGGGTGGAGAGAGCGGGGCGCGGGCGGGCATGGGTCAGGCGCGCTCAGTCCCCACCACTGTGAGGTCTAGATGGTGCCCCCAGGCCCGGCCCCGCGGGGTCCTCCGCAGTGTGTGTGGCGCGCACGTTCAGACGCCTGCGCGCTTCGCCTGGGGGTCGCCGTGCAGGTTTCTGCCTGATGGATCCGGGCCCAGGGCGGGGACCCCAAACACGAAGGGCCAGCGCCCCCTGCGCCCCGCGGAGGCCCCTGCAGGACTGAGCCCCATCCCACCGTGGAGGCCCCCGGCGGCGCTCGGGGTTGTCTAGCCATGGGAGTGCCCCTCCAGTTTTCCGGGGTCACGCGAGCTCCAAGCGCCGCGGTGGAGGCGGTCCCCGGGTGGGGATGCGGGTGAGTCCCCGCCCCCCGCCCTGTCCCCAGCCTGGGCCCAGCGCAGCGGCAGGGGGCGCGAGGACAAGCGCCCTGTCCCCAGCCCTGGATCCGGCTTTTTTCCTCCCTGATCTGAGGGGAAAAATATGTTTGAGGCGAAACGAGGAAAGAAGTCGGCGGTGGCTCCCGACTGGCTTCTGCCTCGGATCCGGGTCCGAGCCGCTCCCCGACGGGGCGCGCAGCCCGGGGGCATCTGCCGGGGGGCGCGGGGCGGGGGCTACACCAATTGCACCTTCCAGTTTGACGATGGCTGCTGCACCCCGAGGTACGTCTGCGCGCCCTTCCCTGCGCTGGGAGACCCCGGTAGGGGCTACCGGCACCCCCAGAGCCCCGCACCCTGCAGGGCCCTTATCCCGGGGCCCCTCATCCCTGGGACCCGCTAGCGCCCTCTCCGACTGCGTGGGGAACAGGGGCGCCCTCAGGGCGGGGGCCCACTTACTGAAACGAACAAGCCAACAAGCCGCTTCAGTCCCTCGGTCCTGTCCCTGAGCGCGAAGTTGAGCTTTAGATGGGGCCTCTGAGCAAACTCCGGGGGCCTGGGCAGGCGGCCCGCGAAGCTGGGGGACCCTGTCTGACGGAGGGAGAGGACCGCAGCGCCTCCCAGACCCTGTGGCCGAGCCTGGGGAGGGGTCATCTTTCCTGCGTGGGGGTGACAGCGCTGGGCCCAGATGGGGCACAGGGCAAAGGTGCCCAGACAGTAGGGGGTCTTCCAGGGCAAGCCTTCCCAGGAAGAGCCACCCACTGGGAAGTGGGGTGTGAGTGGCTGCCGGAGCATGGTCGGAGGGCTGGAGTCCCGGGTTCCAGGAGCTTGGCAATTTTGGGCTGGTCCCTTCTCTTTTGGGGTCCCCCTTGGTACATCCCTGTGAGGAGAGGGTCAACTGAGAAGGGCTTCCGGGTGGCCTGGGCACAAGTGCCCTGTGCCATGTCTTGGGATTCTGCTGGGCTCCTGCCCAACTAGGTGACAAGTTCAGAGGACACAGGACAGCGCTGGTGGAGGGCCCAGGAAGAGCAGAGCAGTGCAAACGCCAATGCGGACTTGCCCCAGGGTCCTGGTCCTGCCTGCCCTCTCCCCGACCGTCTGCCAAGAGCCAGGCTCCAGGAGACCCTGGACACAGGCTGCCCTGCCCTGTGCCAGTCCCTCCTCAGCTGGTCAGATCCCTTCCTTTGGCTTTTGCTTTGTCTTGGGCTGTTCTGAGGTCAGAGAAAGGGGTGGCTGAGCACACCTGAAAGGTGGGAGGCCTAGGTTTAAGGCCAGGTGCTGCTGCTGACCATTTCCTCGGTGGGACTCAGTTTCCCTGTATGTAAAACGAGGGGTGGAGCAGGCAGTCTTTCAGGCTGTTTCTGGTGAGGGACCAGGCTCAGGTGGGGAGGCTCCCAGCCAAAGCACCAAGGCTTGGGGACAGCACTGGCCTGGTATCCATAGGGGTGAGCGGTCACTTGGCCATGTCCTTGAGAAATGGGTGCAGCCTGGACCTCCCATGGGACCACGCTGAAGGATCAGCCAGGTGGTGTTTGTCACGCATAGAGCAACCTATTCCAAGAGGGCTCTTGGATTTCTGTCATCTTCATGGACTAGTGGCCCAACTAGAGGGTGCTGCCCTCCCTGGCCATTTGGCTCTGAGCTCATCACCTGCCTGGCCTCACCGCCTGGTCCAGAGGAGGCAGGAGCTGTGTCCTCAGGGTCTGGGCTTGATCCCCCCAACACCTGCAGCTCTACCTGGCACTGCCTGCCCACCCAAGACAGCCCCTCCTCCCCTTTGGTTTGAGCTGGCCTCTGTCCCTGCAGAGGCTCACTGTCACACTGCAGGTGGAGCAGCTGTCAGGGCCAGGGGGGATGTCATGCAGTCTGGATGAGGAAGGTGCGGGTGGATGAAGATCCCCCCAGGAAACACCAGGCTGGATGAGGGCCCCCCCAACCAGGGAAGGTCAGGCTGGGGGAGGGAGCAGGACCTAGGCTTGGCCTGGGTGGCAGGCAGCAGACCCCTGGGTGAAACCAAGGCTAGCATCTCAGGGAGGTGGGCTTCAGTGCAAAGGACGAGCCTTCTCAGGCAGAGCGGCCGGGTGGGAGGGGCAGTTCTCCGAGCAGATTCCTGCACTAGGCTTCTGGGCGGATGGGGGTCACAAAGCAGCTCGGTCATAACCTGGACCCTGGAGTCCGGTGGCCTTGGGGCCCGGCTCTGCTCCCCCGCAGGCCTTGACTGCGTCTCTGTCTTCTATAGGTGCTGGATATGGTAGTCGTGCTGCTGTGGTTCAGCAGGGAGGCACAGGGACAGCCCACCCCACCCCACAGTACAGCCCAGCCCTGGCCAGCAGGAGGGACAGCTGGACAGCTTCCCAGCCTGGGGGGCCGGAGGGAACTCAGGGTCTGCCCATGGCCCAGGGGCAGCTACAGCAGCAGCTCAGGAGGATTGAAGTTAGTGGGAAGGGGGCCAGGTGGGGTGCCCACTAGGATTCCGGCTTCTGTCTGAGCACCTGGCCGTGGGTGTCATCTGTGTCTTCACACCCAGCAGCCTCCAGTGTGCTGGACTCATTCACCCACCATGTGGGCGTGTCAGCCTGTTGTTGCATCTGGGTCTTAATTAATGCGTAAACCTACTTATGACAGTCCTGGTGTGGCAGAAGTTGTGCTGTGTTGTGACTTCTCATCTCCTGGGAGGGCTTCATGATGGAGTCATAAAGTCTCCCCTGAGCTTTCTTGTCCTGCTTCCCAAGGATGCGGGGGTTTGCAGGCTCTGCCCCAGTTGCTGACAGCCCTAGGGGAGGTGGCACTTCTGCTTCCCCAACAGATAATCCAGGGTTTCTCTGAAATGGGAAAGTCCATCCGAGCATGTCCCAGACGCACGTGCATGGAGGATGCTGACCAGGGGCCCCAGACATGTGCTGAGTGTGCATGTGCACCTGTGCATGCCATGTATGATGTACCAGGCGTGTACAGCATGTGCATGTGTGTAAGAGCTGGAGGAGAGTGGGTGGGACCCTGAGGTCACCCACCACAAGTTTAGGGGAAAGGCAGGGTGGGGCCTGGCCCTACCTGGTGCTGGGTGGGGTGTGCATGGGCCCACGTGTGTGCACGGGCTGGGTGCTGGGCCTGCAAGCAGACACCCCTGATTGAATGGGTGTTTAAAAAGGTGTCTCAGGAACTCACCTGGCTGTGTGTGTGGATAAGGCCACACACGTTCCCTGGAACCCCATCCACCTGTGGAACTTGGGCATGAACTCCAGTGCAGCTGGAGCCCAGGCCAGGATTGGTGTGGGAAGGGAAGCCGGTACTGGTAGCTGGCAAATTTTTTTTTTTTTTTTTTTTTTTTTTTTTTCGTGACTGGTAAGGGGATCACAACCCTTGGTGTGGTGTCGCCCACACCGCGCTCAGCCAGTGAGCGCACCGGCCAGTCCTATATAGGATCCAAACCCGTGGCAGGAGCGTCGCTGCACTCCCAGCACCACACTCTCTCGAGTGCACCACGGGGCCAGCCCGGTAGCTGGCAAATTTAAATCCTGTGCAGGGAACAGAGGCAGGGTAAGGGGGCGAGCTCCTTGGGTGGGGTCCCTGGGAAGGCCTTTCTCAGGAGGGGGACCTGAGCTGCTCCCTAGAACAGGAACAACGGGGAGGTGGAAGAGGAGGCGGGCCTCATTGGAGCAGACGGAGGATGTTACTGTCTGGCCTGGGGCAGGATGGGAGCCCTTGGGAACCATCCGGAACCCTGAGAGGAACAGATGGGACTGAAGGAGCCATGGGAGCTGTGTCTGGGAGCCTGGTCCACCCCAACACCAAGACTTAGTAGCTGTGTGAGCTCCAGCAAGTCACTTCACCTCCCTGAGCCTCAGTTTCCTTGTCTGTAAAGTGGGAATGATAGTGTCTACCTTATATGGTTGTGTCAAAGCTTTATGGTGACAATACAGATAAACGGCATTTATGAAGCCGTGTAGACGCGGTAAACCTCGGCACATTCTAGTGAGTGTTGTTATGAGCAATTCTGCGAAGTCCTGTCTGAAACTAAGCGTTTGTCCGATTACTTCCCTGAGATAGATTCTTAAATGTGGAATTGCCAGGTCAAAAGATGCACGTGCTGTTAACGGTTTCGCTGAGTGTTGCCCAACGGCCCCTGGAGGCAGGGCCAGCCCCCCCCCCCCAGTGCCCAGGGTACAGCGGCCTCCACCCCAAACCCAGGTGTGAGAACTCTGGGCCCCACAGCCCGTAAGGAGGCTTCTTCCGATTTTGTAATTTTTGACAGTTGGGCGATAGGAGACAGTATCTCTGTTATTTAAATATTTCCTTGGTCACAAATGAGATCTCATCAGATTCCTGTGTGTGTTGGTCTCTGTTTTTCTTTTGCACATCACCCACTCTGATCGTCTTTTTATTATTCTGGGGCCAGTGCATGTCTGGGGTCAGACGGGCACTCCCAAGCATGACCTGAAACACAGCAAGGACTCAGAGAA